ACACAGCGCAACAACCCAGAAGACAGAAATGTTCTTTGAAAAGATAGTGTTAATGCTTTCAAATGACGGTTTTTTTTGCGAATTAATCATTGTAGTCGTTATCATAATTCTGTGCTCTAAAATAAAAATTCAGGTTCTGGATTTTAATAATAATTTCTTCGAAAGTGTGGGGCATCTCACCCGAGTATACCCTATAATGTATTTGAAGACTGTAAAACATCAGGTAGCAAAAGGCAGTGACTTCATATCGTTGTAGTGAACTTTGACTGTGTATGGTATTCTTACGCAAACGCCGGCCTACATTCGATACAATATAATTGTGGAACACTCTTGGCCGTAATTTAGATAATTACCGTCATTATAAACGTAACACCAGGTGTTGTGCATAAACAATAATCTCTTCTGTTACATCATTCGAATCAAAAACATTTGTTCCAACTCATCAGCTAAAAACGTGTCTCATTTCAGAACAATCCATGGCCGAGTAAGAAGGTGCTAACAGGAATACCACTCTTTTCTTGCTGTTGACGAACTTTTGGCTGTAATATTTGATTGATTATGCATAAGTCTGTCTAATGTAGTAATACACGAGGCTGTGAGTGAGAAATACAGAGAGGCTTATGGAAGTTGAGTAGAGTGCAGGACCCTACGTAACAATCCGGATTTCTTTTCTTGGTGACCTGTCAACGATTTTCTATTGTTAACTGTGTAGACTGCAAGTAAGTGCATAAGATGCAAGCATCAATAGAATTCCAGGAACTTATAGGAACGTGTAATTGGGTCTGCACAAACACACTTTACAAATTTCTTCACGAATGTCAGTAATCAACACCATCTTGGCAGGCGGAGTCACAGAAAGCCACGTAAATGCCCTCGAGCACCAACGTGCCCGCAGAAGTGTTTTCTGGTGCCCTCCAGAACTTCCCATAAACAGAAGACGGAGAGGGAATGTTGTCTTTGCCTTAAGGTTTTCTGTATTTGTGGTAAGGTTAAAGTGTGTAAAAAATCATAAGCTATATTAATGACGTCTTAATTGCAGGAAAGTGTTTTCAAACACTAAATGACTCAGAAAAAAAACTTGAATAAAATGATGTCGAAAATATTATAAATGTTTACATACCAGCTTGTCTTCAGTCATTGCTGGAAACAGAATTTTTCCGATACAAGAGAAAAATTTAGCACACCCCATGGACAGACGTTAACAAAATGTCATGGATCAGTATTATATTTGCGTCATTACTTGTTACAGAATAATTTCATTGCAGATGTGCGTTGAAGTTTTCTTAGAAAGCCGAACACGGAATCATATTGGTCCACTGTAGTGTCGTATCCCTGGCAGAGAAACGATGGGCCCCTGACTCCCCGCGACAGGATACGAACTGTAGATTTGCCTTGCGGTTGCAATCTTATCTCGTGGCCTTGGAGCTATTGAGTAGGGCAGCGTTCAAGGGTGAAAGCCAAGAACAATCTTCTATCGACTATTTAGATTCCTTTATTATTTAATATTAAAATGAAGATGGTGATACAGCAATAGTACTTGTGCTGAGACGCCTGGATCCTTGACTGCCAAGACCAAATCCTGAAGAACGGCGACAGCGTGACTGCCTCCGATAAAGTATGAAAGCTTTGTCTCACCGATACTAGTTTCTGAAGTGCATATAAAGGTCTCGGCAAATGGACCTCCCATGACTTAATGTCTTAGGGGTTCCGGGTTTCTTTCTTTCTTCCTCTTTTTTTTAACTGCTTCAAGGATCTACTGTCTCCGCACTTACAATATTATTACAGTCAAGTGTTGACAGATACGAGAGTTATTTCAAAAGTCATGGCAACTAATTTTGGGGAATCAAACACGTTTTATTGAAGAAAGTTCAAAATATACATATGAAAGGGCACGATATACTCCTCCGATTGGCGTAGTCAGATCAGGTGGGTATGAATGGGTGTAGTTATAGTAGGCAAGAAAATAGGCACATTACGGAATGACCGTTTCAAGAAAATTTTACGACGTTGGAGAATGGAAGTACTCCACCATCCTCCATATTCACCCGACCTTTCGCCATGTGACTATGACTTAGTACCAAAATTGAAACAGCCATTGCGAGGGAAACGCTTTCGTACACGAAGACATTTCCAACGCAGTTCGGCGCGAGATGACAAGATTTGGAGATGGTGAAGCTGATGGTATTCGCCATCTTCCTCGTCGTTGGCAGCGAGTTCTTGTTACACTCGGAGACTACGTTGAAGGTTGCTAGTCTTAATGTAAGAGTTCTGATTTAACTCATATTGAATTTTTAATTTTTTTAAATCAAAATTGAATTTTTCAAAGATTAAAAAATGAAAAAATTGCCTACTATACCTACACCCATTCACACATACCTTATCTGACTACGCCAATCGGAGGAGTATATCGTGCCCTTTAATATGTATATTTTGAACTTTCTTCAGTATAACGTGTTTGCCCCCCAAAAATAAGTTGTCATGACTTTTGAAGTAACCCACGTATATACTGACAGACCCTTCTGGGTTGTGTTTAAAATAATCGTGTTGTTCTTAAAGTCTTCTCGGGCTATCAGCCGTGTTAGCCGGTGGTCAATCGCAGACGTTTCGAGGACCATCTCTGCCCATTTTCAAGGCTGTTGACTGCCTGGATCGTAGAGCGAACTATCTGGTCTACAATTTATGAGGCTGCGGTCATGCTTGGATTTCGTGGTCGGCCGGCGCTCTGTTGAAGTGGGCGGTAGTTGTGCGCGTTCATCCGGTGGGTGACCGGTGAATCAGCTTCAGTGCTGCTAGTAACAGCGGACTACGACTATTTCTCGTCACTAATAGATGTTATTACATTAATTGTTCTTACCTTAAATCACAAAAGATATTCAAAGTGACTTCCCTATGCTTGCAGGCAAGCTTCACATCTCGTTAAAATGTTTCGAAATACTCGACGAGGCTCTTCTTGGGTTGTTCAGAGGTCCTTGCTGCAGGACCTCTGAACAACCCAGAAGACAGCATTCTTCTGCATTAATCATTTTTGCTGGAGTTTATAATATGTTCGAACGTAAATTTAGGCCTTTTGCGAAAGATGCAGAGCAATTTATAGTAATTTTGAAAAGGAATTTAATTCCATGATTCACCTGAAGTGGATCTGGCGATAACCTTTCACGGTTACTGAGGACTTCCAAATGTGTGATAGAGAGTTATCAGAAAATCTTATTGGTGTTAGTCTTAACGACGAGTGAAGTTCTTTGTTAATATCCAGGGCCATGTTAGAGGATTCTGGAACATTAACTACACCGTCTGACGTATCAGTTTCGTTATGTAAAGTAAAGAAATCCAGATTAAAATAATCGAAAAGCTGAACGGTTGGAGATCTTTCTTCGTCGAAGGCAGACCGACGTATGAGTCCAATAAAAAATAAATAGCCATAATTCCGGTGAGCCGCGTTGTGAAGAGAGGGTACAATGTATTTTAATTCTAACGCATAGGGTGGTTTCGTAATTAGCATTTCTTTTCCGTGGTGAACCTCCTCCAGGAAGAAATGGTTCCTGCCATTGATTAGTTGGCGCATTCGCAGATATATAGATCTCGGATCTTCGCTCCACTGATTAGGTTGAGCATGAGAAGAAGGTAGGAAATTTAACCACGTGTAAGGCATCCTGTAAGAAACACAAAAACAGATTAAACAATTATGCCGTGTTCAGTGCAGGAAATTGAACCTGGTACAAAATTCCAGCGATCTTCTGCTGCGTCACACGCAGAGGTTAAGGGGGACTAAGACGCCATGTGCTCTTGTACGTCCTCGCCCTACCCAGATTTCTGGATTCCAACGAGATTTTTCGTCTGTTTGTTTGTAACTGCAATAAAGCTCGGAGATACTTTGCGACAATTGAGTTCAGGCCATGCATGAGTCAGACCGAGGTCCGTGGTCTAACTTGTGCTCAAAGAATTTTCAAACGACAAATGTTATGATTGTATGTAAACACACTCTGACATCGGGAAGCTTCCCTCTAGCAGTATCTGCACTCCTGAGGTCAGTGGGTTATCGTACCGTGTCAAGCCCAGACATTCACCGTATGCCATTCAAGATTACAGAACCTCATAATCTGATGAAGCGTTGCAAAATTCCCAAAGAACTTCCAGCGGAACCCACAAATAAAAGTGCATGAAAAACGATTTTCACTCCAACATATTCTTAATAAGTCAACCGTACCAAAGTCCATTCAGGGAATCAGATTCACAAAATGAAGCACCCGTTAAAGAATTTCGAAATAATCGTTCGGTGAGGTGTTCTTAAATTGGGGGGGGAGAGTGGCTTGACAGGGGCCCATTTTGCTCACAGGTTATCTCACACGGTTTTCGACACGGACACAAACATAGTTTTTTATTTCGGAACATTACGTAAGACAAACAGACGTAAAGGATCTCGCTGGCAATAACTTATCAATCTTACACGTTGAAGTGCTATGCTTTATGCCTGTCAGGTATCGGCTGGGATTCTTCGAACAAAGAAACAAATGTCCTACATCAGTGGACAGTCGTTCATAGACGTGGCGCTTTTGCGGAGTCTCACGAGGAAGTCAGCGAGGAAAATCTCGATCAAGATAACCGTCTCCGGGTTGAGATTTAGTATTTATTCTTGCTTACGCAAATTCTCGCTCAGCATCGAGCAAGGGGAATCAGAATAAACAGCAAGAATTGCTCGATCCAGGGAAGTGAACAGACGATGGCTTTCGGCTGAAATAAACGTAGGTAGCCTCCTTCCTAAGTTTCCGGATTACTTCTGACTAAACAAGTCGCTGTGACTGAAGGCATCAGTTTCAAGTTGAACAATAATTTATAGCACGGCGAGTAAGACGTTTTTTTACTGAAAAACATTTAAGACTTGCTTTTCGTGCTTTCCTTCCACTTTGAACACAGAAGACGGAATCAAGGATCTAAGAATATCTTAATATGCCTGTTTAGGGGCTCCAGTTCAGTAGCGGAGCATTTTACAAGTGACTCCGAGTAGTTTCAATATTCTGACTTCGCCATTGGACCTGACACTCAAAAGTGTTTTGCATAGTCATTCCAAACTGCAAGTGTACGAATACACTCGAACAGACGCAGTGCGTTGGACATATTTTGCGAGCGCTGTCAGGTCAGAAACGCATGGTGAACACACAACCGCCGTATTTTTCTGGAGACCGACTAACTAACTAACAAACTCCCTGGTAGCAGAACCAGCACATCCTACGCCGACGACACCGTAGCCAGTCACCGGCCACGATCCTGCGCCAACTTCGTCCATTTGCCATCCTCACAGGCCACCTTCTTTCGATCCATCTTGATCCTTCCTGGTCTGCCCAGTGTTCTTTTTCTAGAAGGATTCCCTCCAATATTCTGTATGCACCCTTTGCTTCCGCCCGACATACGTGTCTGGAGAGCAACACTGTTCTTAATTCGCAGTAGAAACTGAATATGGCTAGGTGGCGTGTTATTTATTGATAAAAGAATTTCCCTATCGCGGGGTCCCAAGTTAATGTGAACTTCCTTACCTATAATGAGCCTCGATGTGGCATTCCGTACCATTGACCATCACCGCCTGTTCATGTGGGATCATCCTGACATATTTCCTTGTCAAATTATGGCAGAAGTCAATAAGCTTTGCCCCAGAGATGGAATAATCGCGTTTAAATGTCTTAGTTCTTTTCTCGAAGTGTTTCGTGAATATGAAGCGCCGAGTACAGAGTTTGGGGAATTCGTTTTTCTCACTTGAGTTAAGCATGGCTAACCCCAAGTGGATTGGCCAATGGTGGGCTATTCGCAGGAACCTGAGGAAGTCGTCCAGCAAACTGCCGGCGTAGAAGCACGCCGGATGTCCAGAGCCGGAGTGAGGGCTGTAAATGTGTCTCCAGTTGAAGGCTCTCAACTCGCGGTACTGCAAACAAACAGGGCAACAGTCAGACGGGCAACTGACCACATCGGCTGTTATCTTAACTAACGATGCCTCTGGTTTCCTTCAGGTCACACGTATGAAATTCTGATACCGTTATTCAAGTAATGAGCAGCTGTTTACAAACCCTGCAGTTGGTATGTCGTCGTTTAAATCATTGACGAATAAACAGTCGATGTTGCTTTTGGTGGTTTTGCTGTTCGTGCTATTTGTACAAGAAAAATTAAGGAGAACGGAGACCGGTGGAGGGCTTTGGGTAATTCGGTGTTGAACCTTCTGGTTAGTTAGACGTGGGTTGCACTCGTAAGCAGATGATGTTGAAACACGGAGGATGCATATGAGAAATAGCACTTCCGTTTAATCAGTGATTTGGTTTCCCTGTTTCTAACTAACAAACTGGATGCCTTACGGAACTCGAAAGTTCATCACCGAACTAAAAAGCCATCAACCGTTTCCTGTCCTGGGCTAACAAATTCGAATCTCTTTCAACTCCTATCTCCCATATAGCCTGACATTATCCTCCCATCTATGTCTAGGTCTCTCCAGCGGCATCTTCCCTCCAGGCTTCCCTATAAACACCTGGTGCACACCTCTTGGCCTATCCATGTGTGCTACATGGCCCGCCCATCTCATTCTTCTCGACTTAATTACCCTGACAATATTGGGGTAGAGTACAAATTTTTCAGCTCATCATTATGCAGTTTTCTCCATGCCCCATCGTCTTCTCTCCTATCCCCAAATATCCTCCTCAACACCCTATTCTCATGCAATCTGTGTTCCTCCCTCAGGTTGAGAGACCTTGTTTCGCACCCATACAAAACAGGCAAATTATTGTTTCTTATATTTTAACCGGTACTTGTGGGTTATCGGGACACATCGCAGTTTTCCGTCCAATCCAAGACCAGGTATTCGACTCTCCGCATGAACTGTCATTTATCCACACACATTAACCTAACCTAAGCTATGTTTAAAGCGATGTGTCCCGATAACCCACAAGTACCATTTTAATCAGGTTCATAGAAATCAGAGGGGAAGACAAAATATTTTGAACTGAGAAGTAGCAAGCATTTCTGGAATTTAGCCACCCCTAATTCCGTCGTGAATATAATTCTGACTTCTTATTGTTGTTTCATTGTTGCGTAAAGACGCGTATATAGTAACAGTATCAGAACTGTAACCTGATTGTCGATCAGTTTCTAGGTCACTGACAATTTACTCTGTTCGATTAAACGCACGAAGTCGCTTTCATCTCTGTTGTCAACCACGTGCACTCTTAGCTTCGTGTTGCTGATGTGACGAGCAGTCCTCGGACTGCAGCAGTGTTTTCAGGAACGTGTCTGAATCTGCCCTGGCTCAGTCCGCGTTAAACAAACGGAGTTACGCGCTTCTTTTAGAAGCAGAAATGTTAAACCCTAATCAACACTATTAAGAGTTTGTTCGTGACACAGCACGCTTCACATTCCTCTGAGTTGTTACAAAGATTCGGTCCTTAATCGCTCTTACCTGACCCTTCATTAACATCAGTGCAATGTAATGTTGATCCATTAGCAGTTGTTGTTCAGTTGATCGACATTGTCCTATACTAGGCAAGACATCCTGCGTAGCTAGAGTGAAAGGATAATTCTTTACCAGAAGTTCTTCCAATGTTCGACCTTCTTCAAAATGAGACACGGCATCCACCATTGCTCGATCAATCTTCTGACCCAAGGTCGAGAACCCGCGATTGAGAACTGAGGTGGCGACTTCACAGAATCGTTTGCACACGAGCCTCACTCGTCTAGCCAAGACATCGTAAGAGCAATGTTCGAAAATGCGAGCCAGCACCACTGGCGGCAAGTCCGTGATGTGCAGTCCAGAGGGTTTCGGTTCTCGTTGACTGCAGGCTCCAACGTTATCCGACTCTTCGTTGCCACGTTTAATTTTTGACTTGATAAAGCGAATAAACTTCTTCATCCCGACGAAAATTTTATGACAAAAATATTCCTGGTGGTTAAATTATATTATCTGAGTACAATATTCACGGCCTACGATTAAACCTTTGTTCACCTTTCTCGCCACACAAGACGTTAACAGTCCGTGACTAAGAGACAGTCAACAATGAGACAGACAGCCAACAAAGTGAAGCAGTCAACTTAGTACAACAATGCACTGGCGTCATGCCTCTCTCGCAGTTCATACTTCCAATAATCAGTTTGCTCACCAAGTTATGTATGAATATTGTGACGTGTTGCGTTTGGCATTGTTGTACTCGTTTATAGGCATTGTTGTGTCTCTTTATTGGCATCGTTGTTTGTTTATAGGCATTGTTGAGTTAGCATTGATGTTTACATTGTTGCGTCTGTTGATTGGCATTGTTGCATAGACATTGTTGTATTAGCTGAAAAGCCGATGGCCCGTCGGTAGCAGCATCATCCACCACCGCTTCCATGAGCAGGACAGTGCAGCCCTCAGCCAAGGGACCCTGCTCCCAGCCGGGACCCTCTTCCTCGATGGAGGTTTCCGGGGACCTGTCCGGGCCGCTCACTGGCGTGTCATCTGACGCCGCATTTTCTTCCAACGCTCAAGTGGACAAAACGGCTCCGGGGGAGCGCCGTAACAAAACCCCGGTGTACGTCTCTGGGGTGAAGGACGTACGCGGCTTCCTGCATAGGATTCGCGCGGAGTTGGCCTGCGGGATCGTGGCGCAGATGAAGGGAGACCTCCTGACTCTTGTGCCTGAGACCGCCGACGGGTTCCGGGCCACCGTCAGGGTCCTGCGGTCCCTCGGTGAGGGCGAGGGGGG